CAGGAGAGGCTCTCTGGAGTGGAGACTCTTAGGAGCAAAGTGACCTAAAACACTGAGTACCACTCTCTGGCTTGCTTACGGAAGAAAGATCAAATCCTATAACCTATGCAAGAAAGCCCGGATAAGGTAACAAATGCACTATACATTACCCAGAATAAAGTTATACTGTGCAAGCTGGGCATTTCTGATCTTCTTGTTCAGCGTGCATCCAGGATCTACATCAACATCTGCCATTAATCCAGCATCGTGGAAGTGCTGCCTGACCTAGGAGAAAAAGTATTTAAACTGTCACTATAGGATATTCACGACAATTAACTATTTATGACTTGTAAACTTAAGCCAGTCAAGCTTATCTGACCCCTAAAAGAAAGGCACTGTCATCAGCTCAGGCGCTGGAGAGGAGCCCAGTTCAAGAAATGAAACTCTCATGCAAGTACATACACACTAATGTGTGTCTAAGATCTTTATCAATGACATAGACAGTGGGATCAAGTGCACCCTCAGCAAGTTTGCAGACACCACCAAGCTGAGGGCTGTTGTTGCCACGCCAGAAGGATGAGATGTCATCCAAAGGGACCTGGACAAGCTGGAGAGGTGGGCCTGTGTGAACCTCATGAGGTTCAACAAGGCCAAGTGTGAGGTTCTGCACATGGGATGGGGCAACCCCCGACACCAATACAGGCTGGGGGATGAAGGGATTGAGAGCAGCCCTGTGGAGAAGGACTTGGGGGTATGGGTAGATAAAAAGCTGGACATGAGCCAACAACATGCGCTTGCAGCCCAGAAAGCCAACCCCATCCTGGGCTGCATCAAAAGAAGCATGGCCAGCAGGTCGAGGGAGGGCATTCTACCCCCTCTGCTCTGCTCTGGTGAGACCCCACCTGCAGCACTGCATCCAGCTCTGGGGCCCTCAGCACAAGGACATGGACCTGCTGGAGCGGGTCCAGAGGAGGGCCACCAAAATGATCCGAGGGCTGGAGCACCTCTCCTGTGCGGACAGGCTGAGGGAGTTGGCGTTGTTCAGCCTGGAGAAGAGAAGGCTGCGAGGAGACCTTATTGTGGCCTTCCAGTACTTAAAGGGGACCTACAGAAAGGATGGGGACAATCTTTTTAGCAAGGCCTGTTGTGACAGAACAAGGAGTAATGGATTTAAACTAAAGAAGAATAGATTTAGACTAGACATAAGAAAGAAATCTTTTACAGTGAGGGTGGTGAAGCACTGGAACGGGTTGCCCAGAGAGGCAGTGGAGGCCCCATCCCTAGAAACATCCCAGGTCAGGTTGGATGGGGCTCTGAGCACCCTCATCTAGTTAAAACTGTCCCTGCTCATGGCAGGGGGGGGGGGCTGGATGATCTCTAAAGGTCCTTTCCAACCCAAAGCATTCTATGATTCTATGATTCTAAATAACTAAGCAGTTATGTGAATATCTAATGTTTTGGGCTGAATAGTGATTTGAGTTTGATATTGTGAAAGGCAGCAGGAAGGTGGAGCTTTCTGATTAGAAGATTTTTTTTTTTTTATTTTGCAAACTATTTTATTTATGTATAATGTGCTTGAAAGAAACACAGGAAAATGTCTGCTGGATGCATATTTAGATATGCAAAGACCCATCTTCATCTTTCTTACTGCTTTCAAGACGCATGTAGCCATGGGAGACTAGAACCTGAAGGGTAAGACAGCTTTTGAGCCAGAGAAAAAAACCTAAGTTTTCCAAAATTAAAAGCCTGACAGAGATCAGCATTTGTTGTTTAGATACCCCAAATCTATTTCAGGTCCTCTTTAAGATACAACTTCAGCAGCTAATTGTCATGGTAATATAAAATGATACAATGTAATATGCAAAGACTTATAACATGTATCTGGGATAAATACTATTAATAACTAAGTATCTCAACTAAATACAATATACTGAAAAAAAAGCCCCGAAACCATATACATCACCTTTTGAGCATACTCATCACACATTGGTCCCACTGGTACCACCATTACCTGCTGTGGAGACAGCCAGAGCGGCCTTCAATAAACAAACAAAACAAGTTTATGTAGCTTTCAGTATTTTTTTTAGTATGAAAAATCCTCTTAACAGATAGGACTAAAACGTACACAAGAGATTCATAAAGCCAGCTGCTTAGATTGGGTTCAGAGGCAATGACAGACCTATAGTCATTACAATTTATCTCGCAGAAAGAACTGAGTGTCTGAAAGAATTGCAGTATGGACAAAAGTACTTTTTGACCTGAAGATTCAAGTTGTGTTTTACAACAGGCAACAAATCGTAATTGAGTTGTTGAGCTTACTACTAACTAATCATGGGAAAACATTTACTTATGAGTCTTGTTATAATCTGAGGGGTCATCCCCATCAGGTATTATACTGCAGCAGGTGAAGGAGATGACCTACATAAATGACCCGCTGCAAGGCAGCCCAGCTGCAAAAGCAAAGTTGAGAGATACACACCTTGGGCAGAGAAGCCGTATGCTGCATCTGCATGAGTGGTATCATGTAGAGGCTACCACATCTAGAATTATTTAATATCTAAGGAAGGTGGTTCAGAAGGAATTCCCTCTGGTACACCTATGGCATATCTCTGTAGCAAGCAAGTAGAACAAACCCTCTTGATTCTTGCATGCTTGGGGCTAATTTCTCTTCTACATAAAGTGTTTGCTCAAACTGGAATAATAAATCTACTTTTCAACATTACCATTTGCCTCCGTAGTTTTCAGTTAGAATGGCGATCATTCTCTCCACAGATCCCAAGATAGCCCGGTGAATGATAACTGGTCTTGTCTTGTCATTACCATCATGGCTGTGAAAAAAAGGTTGTTTTTTTTTTAAATGTAAGGTTTTTTTCTCGATGTAAACTTACACCTGTAAGCGACAGGAAGTTAGATTATTAAAACCACCAGCCTCTGTGCTTACCTGACAAAGGTGAGGTTAAATCTGACTGGCAGCTGGAAGTCGAGCTGGATTGTAGCACACTGGTGGTAGCGGCCAATGGCATCTTTAATCTGAATGTCAATCTTAGAAACAGAAAGACACAAACTTTTACTACAGTTTAAGATACAAGCATGCCCCTCTGAAAGCAAACTCATTTTAAGTTGGAAGTTTCTCAGTACAGAGGAACTATATGTGGTTTCAGACAATATACTTTTACTTTGGCCTACATTAGGACTTAAATGATTTGCAGGTTCTGATGCAAAAAACATTAAGAGCTAAAAACAGGGTGAGCAAGTAGAGAGACATTACTTCAGCAGGGAACTACATTTAACACCTTGGGCTATTTTTTATGAGTTTCAGCCTGGAACTTTCATGGGCCTTTTCACTGAGTGAATTCAGCAGCACAGAAGTGCAAATGCAAGATCAGAACGGAACATGTCTCACCAAAAATGAGATTTCTTCACCCCCTAACTGGCAAACTTACACTCTTTTATTATGCAGTATTTGAATACTATGTAGCTTATGTTACAAATTCAGGGCACGAACATGGGATAAGAATCATACTATTAAGTAGTCCACTTACCAGTAGGGATCATATTAATCAATGACACTTGTTCTGACTATGAGTATCTACAGACAAGCCTGCTCTTTCTATTGCATCTTACACTTCAATCCTGAGTACACTTATGATCCAGCTTAGACAGAGATACAGATAGTGTCCTGACCTTATTTATTTATTACATTGCTCTCTTATTCATCATTTTACCAGTATGGCTGTATGTTGCGGCTGTACACCTTATTTTAATTTAGATATCAAACAAACAGATCAGTGTTTTATTAACTAAAATTCTAAATATCTTTCAATTTTGCATTCAGAAGCCAGAGTTTATCATAGTTCAGCTACTCACCAAAGAGCTTCTATCAAAATAAATTATTTACAACCTTCTTTAATTTCAAATCACCCAGTTACAGAGTAGAAAAAAAAAATCCAAGTAGTTTAAAGGTACCCTAGATGTAGACCTTAGCTTAAAAATTTAACTTTTACTAGTTTCCAGTAAAACCAGTGCAAAATGCACTACACATTTGCTCACATTACTTTGGCTAGAGTGTACTAAGAGCAAGTATAAGGTTAACAAAGGTTCCTGTAGATATTTACCTTCTTTCAAATCAGCTGAGGAAATTACTAGATCTTGTTTGCATTTCACATTATGAATGATTAGCTGCTAAACACTTCGCCTACAGCCCATAAAATGGAATTGATTCAATTAGCATACACAGAGAGAAATCAGAACCAGTCTATTAGATGACTGAATATAGACATGAATGTAGTGTAGGTTTATTAAGGAAAGATTTACAAGCAATTTTGTAAGGCTCTCTGTCCTTATGCTCAAAGATATCATGAAATTTCTAGAAAGCCCTACTTAATCTGTGCAAACTGAAGAGACGGCTTTAAAAAAACCCAACAAAACCACAAAATCAATGCAAGGAGCTTTTTAAAATACCAGAACCCACCAGCAAGTCGATGCAGCAACAAAACTGTGCCAGTAAAAGCAACATTTTTCAGAAATTTGTTTTACCATTAAGATTGTTCTTCTCATGACTTAGGATTCACTTATTGCCCAAAATACTACTTCTAATGCAGCAATTGCTGTGGTAATTCAGGTCTTACAGTGCCACCTTCTGTTCGTGTCTCCCCCTAAACCAATTACCTCTGTTTAAACAGCAGACAAATAGTTTATGCATGTAAACTGGGTTTAATTAATGAAACGAGTGTTAAAGCTATGTGAAAACAAGGATCACAGAGTATCATTTCTCTTTCAAGTATGTCAGAGTTTATGTATCTGGAAAAACACAAAATTTCAGCTGTACAGCATCTTAAAATGGTATTAGATAACTATAAAAAAAAAAATTCCACTCTTCCTGATCCCAGCTCTTAACAATCTTGGCTTGTACCAGGTTGTCAGTTTAAGAACCAGTTTTGTTCTGTATCCTCCACCCAAACCTAAACAGCACCAATGCTTTAGAAATACATACTGACATTGAAAAATTCAGTTATAACTAAATAATAATTAATATTATTATAT